TCTCTCTTCGGCGCTTTTTCTCTCTCTCCTCTCTCGGAATTAGAATCGGAACCAGAGTCCGAATGGGCGGTACAACTTTATTATTATGGTACGAGGTATATTCCCCGTTTCTCTCTCTGTCTGTATCTGTGATTCTCTCTCCGTCTCTGTGTCTGTCTGTGTGTCTTTCTCTGCCTTCTCCCTCTCTCATTTGTTTCCTGTCTCTCTTGTTCTGTCTCTCTCTATCTCCCTCTGTCACACACACAATAGAGGTAAGGAAAATTAGCTCAAGCCTGAGGGCGCACCACAGGCCTCCGTTTGGCGTCTCAGAGCGAAGCGGCGGGATTGCCTCAACTCTCAAATCGACACGATTAGAGTGGAATGTTCGCGCGCGACGCCGGGGCCGCCTCTCGCCCTTCAGCTGCGCGGAGCCCTCCGGGAGCCCCCTCTCAGCGAGACGCCGCCGCTCGGGGCTCCGGGCGTCCAGCGACGGGCGAGTCGCACGCGCCGGCGGCACGGCTCAAAACCACGTCGTCGCACTTTTTCTCTCCACCTCGGGCCCCTCCGCTCGGGACTGTCGCTCCAATCTAAGAATCAGCGAATCGATTGGTGGCTAACGTATTTCCGTGTTTTTGAGAACTTGAAGTGACGTGTGTGGTGTGTTGTTTCGTTGTTGCTGTTGTTGTGCATTGTGCACTGCAACACGCATCTGTGCATGTATGCACTGGATGTGGTAATATGTTGTTGTTGCGTGACCGATTTAGGCATGGCGCGTTGAGAGATGCAACTTTGCTGTGAGTGGTGCTGCCGGCATTTTCTTCTGCAGCTGCGCGATGCTGCTGGGATTGCGCGTGCCGCAAGCTGTTGACCTCAAAGAATACAGACGGGCGTGTGTTCTTTTATTCTTCACCATGCTGTCGGTGTTTTTTATTAACTTCAACCTATCTCGGAACATGAATTTTGAAGAAGAAATGACAACCGCGTGCACGTGACGCACGTTACTGCATGCATGTATCGCGGATCGTGTACGTATATCTATTATAGCAGGTAACATATACATACATACATGCAGTACATCCCCCATGTTCCTACCTTTCGTGCACTTACTTTAGAGATGGTGCATGAGGAGTGTGTTTGGTGGACTGTTTACTTTACCACTACCTGCGCGTGCGGTGCGGACAAACAATTTCTTCCGGAAATATATGGCAACTTGCGGCATTGTGACAGAAAAAACTGGCTCTCGGAACTCGGAACACATCATCATCACAGGCATCTCGCTATGATTGTTTCTCATGATCATCAGCTGTGTGTGCTGGATCTCTCTGCGGTATGTATGTACTGTATGTGTGGTCCGGAGGGCGACATGCAGACACCGGGTGTGTGTGTAGTGTGCGAACATTAAACTTTACGGAGTACCACTGATCTAGACTGACTGCTGTATGTATGTAGTCTCGGCTGTATATTGCTATGTACAGGCCACACTTGCACACACAGACGGACAGGTCAAAGCGCACGCCACGCGCACCCAAAGTAGTAGCAGCCTATCAAGGCAATCTAGTAAGTGCAGTTTTCTTCTTCTGTTGCTATAGGTATCTATCTGTCTTTAATCCGGAGAGTAGCGTAGACTCCTCCGTGACACTCGGTCACAGGGTCCCAGATTGTTTACTGTAGAAAATGCGCGTTGTGTGTTTCCACCGCACTGAGACTGACGTCTTCATTGGTCAGCAATGAGAAGACTAAGAAACATTCCACGAAGAAAAAAGGCTCAACTTTTTAGTAAAAAGAAGTAAAAAAGACTAAGAAAAACAGCTCAATCTCGGCCACAACATAACAAGAAACGTCCTAACAAGAAACAAACATGATCGTGCGATACCCCCAATACATGAGAAACAAGGGTTGCTGGGGGAGCGTATCCAATATTAAACGTTCCATCCACTGCTGCTCCTTCCGTGCTCCCACTCCCCCCGTACCTAGCTGGACAACGTTTTTTTGTCGTAGGGGGGGAGAGAGAGTAATTAATTGTTGGCGCTGTCCCCCCCACTTCCGCGTTATTTAGCTACCGACTCGGCGCCGCCGCGGGCCCACTGCTGCATGGATGTTTGGTGTTGCTGTATGCATCTTCTTAGCCAGAAATTAAAGAATATGAGAAATAACAGAATCAGGATGATGCGACAGTCCAAAGGAATAATAGGTAGTAAGAACAAACGCCTTTTTTGGACGACTTCCTTCGACGCAAAGTAAGGGATTGAGCCTCGACCCGATCTTGACGTTTCTTATCTCCAGGCCCGTACTGTATACTATAGACAGACAGGTGCACACACATTACATACATTATGGCTACAGCAGGGTGTGCGCCAGAAGCATCAACGTTTGTTCGACAATTAATTATTTTTGCACTTACTTAGTTTTGTTTCAGTGAAAGAAACATGAAGACGGTAAGTGGATAAGGAGAGCATGATGATGCATCATGCATGCACGCTTCTCTCGACTTGAACCTGCATCTGTCTGTCCATCGTTCTTTTCAGCTGTATGTAGCGAACAACCGTCCCACTTGGTATGTATTGTAAATGTTACCGTGTGTTTCGTATACACATACATGCACTCAAACGGGGGACGAGGGGGGCGGTAGCCCCCCGCGTTAACGGATAGCGTCAAATGTTGGCGCGCGACGCAGGGGCCGCCGCTCGGCTTCCCGCTCCGCGAAGCCCGCCGAGAGCCCTCTCTCAGCGAGACGCCGCCGCTCGGGGCTCCGAGCGGCCAGCGACGGGCGAGCTGCACGCGCCGGCGGGACGGCCCAAAACCACGTCGTCGCACCTGCGTCTCCACCTCGGACCTCGGACCCCTCCCTCCACTCGGGACTGTAAAGAACAAGCGATCTTACTGGACGGAACTGTCTTCACCACCTCTCTCAGGTCTTCTTCCTCCAACGATGCTCCTGCTACCAAGGCAGGAATCCTCTTCAACAGCACGGAAGTAGACCATCAACGCTACGAATGCTGTATGACAAGCCTGATCTTCGTTTTTCTGTGTCTTTCGGTGTTGCATGTCTCTGGCTTCGCAACACGTATTATTATACTACAAGGGCTCCGGACGCGGGGGGCTACCGCCCCCCCCGTCCTTCGTTTTTGCGGTGGATGATGCGGAGAGTAAAGGCGTGGAGCTTGTGAGGGAATTGCAGGCGTTGAAACGCATACCAAGTGGGACCGGTCCATGTGGTCAGGAGTGGAGCCGTGAAGGCAGGTCGCAACCCCCCCGTCCTTCGTTTTTGCGGTGGATGATGCGGAGAGTAAAGACGTGGAGCTTGTGAGGGAATTGCAGGCGTTGAAACGCATACAATTAATACCAAGTGGGACCGGTCCATGTGGTCAGATTGCGATGTATTATTTTCCCGAAGGAGTGGAGCCGTGAAGGCAGCTCGTTAAAGACGAAAGGAAAAACATAACAAACTGAAGATTTGAGCGGAACTATTCTTCGGCGCTACGCGTGTACAAACACACAATCTCGATATGCGAGATTGTCGGACTCGCAGGTGATACTCAGGCTCAACTCTAGCCAGGAACTCTCTATAACTCGAATGTGATACTCTATCATCAGGCTCAAATACTACTGTTGGCAACGACGGTACAATCTCGATATGCGAGATTTTCGGACTCGAATGTGATTATCAGGCCCAACTCTAATGTGATTCTCTAGTCTATAAGGAGTGGGAGCACGGAAGGAGCAGCAGTGGATGGAACGTTTGATATTGGATACGCTCCCCCAGCAACCCTTGTTTCTCATCATGTATTGGGGGTATCGCACGATCGATCATGTTTGTTTCTTGTTAGGACGTTTCTTATTATTATGTTGTGGCCGAGATTGAGCTCTCTCTGTGTTTCTTAGTCCTTTTTACTTATTTTTACTAAAAAGTTGAGCCTTTTTTCTTCGTGGAATGTTTCTTAATTGCTGACCAATGAAGACGTCAGTTTCAGTGCGGTGGAAACACACAACGCGCATTTTCTACAGTAAACAATCTGCGACCCTGTGACCGAGTGTCACGGGGGAGTCTACGCTACTCTCCGGATTAAATACAGACAGATACCGTATAGCAACAGAAGAAGAAAACTGCACTTACTTTTGTTTGCCTTGTTAGGCTGCTACTACTTTGGGTGCGCGTGGCGTGCGCTTTGACCTGTCTGTCTGTGGGTGCAAGTGTGGCTTGTACCATAGCAATATACAGCCGAGACTACATACAATACAGCAACATACATACAGCAGTCAGTCTAGATCAGTGGTACTCCGTAAAGTTTAATAATGTTGGCACACTACACACACACCCGGTGTCTGTCGTCCTCCGGACCACATAGCAGTCAGTCGAGATCAGTGGTACTCCGTAAAGTTTAATGTTCGCACACTACACACTACACACACACCCGGTGTCTGTCGTCCTCCGGACCACATACAGTGCATACATACCGCAGAGAGATCCAGCACACACAGCTGATCATGAGAAACAAACATGAGCGAGATCCCTGCGATGATGTGTTCCGAGTTCCGAGAGCCAGTTTTTTCTGTATCAATGCCGCAAGTTGCCATTTATTTCCGGAAGAAAATGTTTGTCCGCACCGCACGCGCAGGTGGTAAAGTAAACAGTCCACCAAACACACTCCTCATGCACCATCTCTAAAGTAAGTGCACGAAAGGTAGGAACATGGGGATGTACTGCATGTATGTATGTATGTGTATGTTACCTGCTATAATAGATATACGTACGTACACGATCCGCGATACATGCATGCAGTAACGTGCGTCACGTGCACGCGGTTGTCATTTCTTCTTCAAAATTCATGTTCCGAGATGGGTTGAAGTTAATAAAAAACACCGACAGCATGGTGAAGAATAAAAAACAGAGAATTGTCGAACTTCGGTTTGAATTATGAACATCGGTTTGAGAATTTTCTCGTGGTTGGAGTAAATCGTTCTTTTGACTTGAGGATTGGAATCGAAAACACCGTTTTGATTGCCGCCTTTCCCATGTCCTCTCCCAAAAAGCAAGTTTCTGGAGCAGCCCCAAACGGCCTCAGGCGAGCTTCTGTGGCGGTGAGCACGTACCCTGGCATGTACTGAGGGGTCAGCTTAGCTTGGCCGTTGCGTTGGGTCCGCCGAGAGATAGAGAAGCAACTCATCGGTGATCAGTTGTATTTTTTTAGAGAATAGCAAGAGACGTGGTGTCGTGTGTGTGTGTTTCGCGTACCCTCTCTCTCCCCTCCCGACAACACACACCCTCGCACCTGCACCTGCTGCACATCCGTACAGGCCACCCATACATGGATGTGGTGAGGATCCAAACATGAGCACTCCTCCCCTCCTCGGGGGCTCGTTCCTTCGCAGTAGAGCTGCTCTTCGGCTGCAGTGTGCACGCGCATCCGAGAGAGCTCGCTGCTGTACCCACCAGGCCCACCCGCTCTTTCCGGTTCTCGGAACGAATAAACAAAAAAGGCACGCACGTGTGTGTGTCCCCAGCCTCTACCGGGCGGCCACCGCCGTAAACTGCTAGCGGGTGATGATCTGATGTATTTGGTTGCATTGTTCGAGGTGAGGTAAAATAGTGCAGCAGCATCCCAACGCCCTCTCCGTGCTGCTCCGTTCGCCCCCAGTCTGATCTGAATCGACTTCTTCGACAGCAGCACCTGATCTCACCACGTCACCTCATCAAGCAGCAAGCAACCACTCGGAGGAACATTTTATCTTTTTGGACAAGCACCCGAGCCGTGCTCGGCACCCGAGAGAGCAGCGGACAGGGCGTACCCAGTAGCCGTGAGCGACCTAGGTCTTTGGAGCAATGTCGGCGCGTACCTTTGGTTCATACTGTGCTGGTGAGTGGAGAGATAGAGCAAACAGCACCACACAGAAGAGATGATATGTATGTAGCTGTGTAAGTAGCAAAGTGCTTGTAGCAGTGTATGCAAATACCGTATATGACACAAGATAACACACCCCCTTGACCGATTTTCAAAGACCGATTTCTCAACAGCAGGAAGACTCACACCGCCGAAAACGGCGGCGTTGGAACCGTCTCGTTGAGAGCTTTTGGAAAATGTATCATTTCGTTTATGTATCCTCTTCGTCGTCGAGTAATCGATCTTTGAAAATCGGGCCAGGGTGTGTGTTATCTTGTGTCATATACGGTAGCGCAGTTGTTGCCGACATGTGTAAGAAGGGTAGGTACCCAGGGTTGACAGTCACGTGGATCGGGTGCTTGGGAAGCGCATTGTGATGTTGTGGTGGCTCGTGCGTGTGCGCTGTGACCGTCCGTTCTGTTTTCGTTCGTCATATGTCTTCTTCCTCTTTATTATCTCGATGCATGCCTCTGTGACTGCTCCTCTTCTTCCGTTTGACCTCCTGAGAACAGGGCGAGGGCAACTACCCACACAGACGTCGCCATCAAGCTCCGGCCAAGCTGAGGCACCTGCTGCATTGTACCTACAAGTGGACTCTGCGAATCAGAGAGCCTTTAGTACCCCTGCATTGATCATTACCTCGGAGAGGCAAGTAACCAACCAAGTGCAGCCATATCCACGCTGGGATGGATGGGCAATGCGTAGGGCCAAAGTGAACGGTCGTTAAGTACGATTGTACATCGTACAACGTATCTATGCATACTGCTGCTGTCAATGGTGGTGCCCCGCTTGATGTTCTCCTTGGGGATTAGATGGCCGTCAAGCACGAAGGTGTTTCTGCTGTGCATTGCGTAGTACAGTGCGTCCCGCGTTGCGATGAAGCTGGTGGTGTTGTTTTTCTTGACTCCGCCGCCGGTCGCTGCTGCTCATGCTACTATTTTCTGCTGCTGCCGCTCCTGCTCTTCGCTCTAAAGGGGGTACTTTGAAAATAACGGCGTGCGACGTACTGATGACGACGTGGATGCTCATGGAAAGCAAGAATCACAGCTGTGTGATGGGGGGTGATGGGTGATGATGAGGTAGGTGCGGTTGTTTCCTAACGTATTAGTCTATGTGGCCGTGGACAGCAGTTTCACGGGCATCCATTTTTTGTTGATGCTGTATGTCGTGAGACGAAGGAGGTGGATGCATGAGTGTCGTGTGTAGTCCAGAGGAGGCGTTTACATCACCCTCTACAAGGCGATGTTCTTGTACTAGTTGCCGCTCGCCCAGGAACACTTTTCCATCTTAAAATGCGCCGCGAGACTTTTTGTTCTGGTACCTTGAGGGATGGTACGAAAGTGACGGTGTTGTTGTGAAGACATGCAGCCTGTTAACAACATCGGCACGTTTCCTCGCTTTTCCTACTCTTGATTTCGTACTAGTGAGCAGTGGTCGCCGTGCGTATTATGCATAGGAATTGAAAACTTGTTGCTTCCCTTCCGCCCGGCCCGCCTACTCTCCCTTGATCACGAACATCGCGAAGCTTTTAGGAAGTGGGTGAGAAGATATGAGGGCCAACACATCTGACAGAGAAGGTCATGTTGGGCGAAAGACTTCAAGTTCGCGACACGGGCCGTGCACGTGATGGAGAAGAGCCCGGGCCGTGTATACTGGTGATGCGGCTGCAACAAGGGTCAACCAAAGCTGGCGGGGATGCGTTGGCTAATAATATGTAGAATTTGTGGTTGGCGCGCATGAAGCGTTGCGGTGGAGTGCAAAGTATTTGTGGTAATAATGTTTGTTCCGCAGTGTGGTAGCATTTATTTGAGGGCAAATGCTGTCAGGGGTTCATAGTTGAAGATCGTCTGCACGAATACCGCCCTAGAGGTGGTAGGAAGAACTTTTGTTATCAGCGGGTGGCGGTACAATAGGGTCAGGACAATTTCTTCGTCGTTGATGGCTGGCTGCGTCTCGCCTGAGGTAGACCATCATGGGTTGTTTGAACGTGAGAACAAGTATTAATAGCACTGGGTTAGAGACCCCGTCTTGGTTTACTGGACGTTGGGTCCGTGTACAAAATAAAGTACGGTGCCTATTGCTCCACAAAAATGAGGGGAAAAAATCAGCTGGTGGTACTGCAAGGCACTGCTGCTGCAGTGCAGGTAACAAGACCGCGTGCGGCATTTGTTACCCGAAAGCACCTGAGAAAAAAATATCTAAGTCTACGTAATTACAAGATAAGACAAACGTCTGGGATACGACATTGGTGGTGTCGGCGCGTGTTCTGTGTCATCACGCTCGCGGTCTCTTGTCGAGAGCGTATGCATGAAGGAGTTACTTTAGTTCCTTATATTCCTCCAATCTGAGGTCCTCTTTCCTTGGATCCTTTCGAGTTTGAAGGGATTGAATGATGGGATATAATATTTATTTGTTGTCTGTTGTGTGACGGCGGGACGAAACGACGTGTGATCACGACACGAACGGACGGATGAGGTTTTTGCTTTAGTTCCTTATATTATTATTAGGGAGAGACAATACACGAGCAGCAGGCAAAGAAGGCCCTGCTGCAACAAACAGCAAGGGTCCACCCAAATCCATCACATCTGCGTAACCCCCTCGGAGATGTCGGAGATGTGCATCCTGCCGAGTACACACACAAAGCCCCCTACTCGGTACGAGATAGGATCTACGATACCTCCCGTACATATCGCCAGGAAAAAACGGCAACAAATCAAAACTCCAAAACAAAGAATCATCCTTTCTTTGAAAAATACTCCTTAAATATCAACTTTACAGGAGAGACACGCCATGAAGACTTTTGAACGGAGAACTCCGGGAAAACGCGGCAACTATTACTACTTTGGAGAAGATCGTTGCACGAAACCATGGTTCAGCCCATTGACCAATATCAAATAAGCTTCGGAAAGCACATAATAGGCCTCAACCATGTCTTACCAAAATATGCCAATTCCTTCCTCCTACATATATCATAGTCTTTTGAAATGTACGGCAACTCTCTTCACCAATTATTATACCGTTTTTCTAACATCGAGACAACATCGATATCTTAACATCTAGCTCCCTGCGGCACTATTTCCCAAAACATGAAAGAAAGCTTTACAGCCCCCCCCCGCTGTATCATCTCCCAAAAGATAAGTTCGAACATCCCCCTTGTTCGGCATCTCACAAAACATAATAAACAGCCCCCCCGCTGCAGTACCTTCCAAAACACAAAATGCAAGTCACCCGGTGCCATTTCGTTTGGATCGCAAAAACTACGAATAAACAACGTGCAGTATGCAGGAATGACACTCGATCGCAATCCTGAAAAAAAGAGAATAGTGCAACCCCCCCCCCATGCTTTTCGGAGCAGTACCTACAAAACACAAACGCATGTAAGTAAGTACAACAACGACACATAAAAAAAAAAACTGCTGCATGCAAGGACAGGATGTTTGCCGCACCCAACACGAGCACGTGCCCATCACATA